CTGGCCCCCTCAGGGAGTCCACTCGCTCTGGGCCCCCGGGGCCTCCACTCGCAGGGGGGCCAGTGCAGCCCTGTTCTCAGACCGGAGCGACTCTCCGCCAGCTGCACACAGGAGGGTTCATTGAGCACTGAACCCAGCACAGGAACTCTCAGGCCTGCAGGCCTGGCCCCCCTCAGCCCAGCACGTCTGAGTCTCCCCTGCAGCCAGGTGGGCTCTGCCTGCTCCCCCTGCCCAGGCCAGCAGCCCCCTCCTCCCAGCCCAGCCCTCATATCCCTCCCCAGCAGCCCCTCCCCGGCCTCTGTCTTCTGCCCAGGTAACCAGGGTCGCCTGGGCTCCCCTCTTTTTCACATCCCCCCTCCTCTGCCCTTTTTCCCCCCTGGCTGGGACCATCTGGGCAAGTCACGGGGGTCTTTTCCCCACAGCCCATTGGCCAGACCCAGCCGTGCCATCCCAGCTGGCTCTCCCGGTCACCAGTCACTGCGATCCCCAGTTCTGTGCTGATCCCTGGTACAACATATTCCCTCCCCGTCCCCTCGTTAAACCAGTAACAGCCGGGGATATTGAGGTCTGGTCTACTCTAGATGGGAAAGTGGAAGTAAGAAACACAGCTCCAGCTCTATGAATGATGTAGTGGGAGTTGACTTATCTATAACATGGCGTTTCTGCGCTGTCCCCACAGTGGGAGGCTGATGGGAGCTAACACTCCCATCTGCTTCCCTTCTTTCATGGGGAACAGGAGAGTCAGCACTGACGGGTGGTGCCCTCTGAGTTTGATTTAGTGGATCTTCACTAGACTCGATAAATCGAACCCCAGAAGATCAACTGTCTGCATAGTTAGATATGGCCTGAGTGCTCCCCTCTGCTTCCAACCCCTTCAAACCCTCACAGATCCCCCACTTTGCTGCAGTGGGACGGAGCTGGGGTCTGGAGCCAGGACTCCTGGGTTCTTCTCTCAGTCACTGACAACCATCATTTCCACCCCCAGGAGGTGATCCAGGATTTCCAGGCCTCTGTGCTGCAGGTCTCCGACTCGCCATACGATGAGCAGTGAGTGCCGGGGCTTGGCTCTGAGGGGGCAGGACAGCAGCAGGCTGGGCTCTCCAGGTTGGGGGGGCAGGGGCGGCCTGTGGCTATAGGCGGGGTCGGCACTGCCCCCTCTCCAACTTCCCTCCTCCCACAGGGTGGCTGCCCAAATGCCCACGGTCCACTACGAGATGCCCAATGGGTACAACACAGACTATGGGGCCGAGCGGCTGCGCATCCCTGAGGGGCTATTTGATCCCTCCAATGTCAAGGTAGGTCCTCCCTGCCTCTCCCCAAACTGGGGAAAGAACACAGGAGTCCTGGCTCCCAGCCCATTCCACCTGCTCTAACCCACCAGTTCCCACTCCAAGATCCTTTTCATCTCTCCCTTCCTCAGTTTCCCTTGGGGGGGTGCCTTGTCTGGGACGGGGCTGGGAGTTGTGGGGTGGGGTGGTATTGGGGAAGGGAGAGTAGAGGAGAAGCAGCCCCCCTGGTAACTCTCCCATCCCCTGATTCATTTTCCCCTTACAGGGTCTCTCTGGAAACACCATGCTGGGTGTCGGGCACGTGGTCACCACCAGCATCGGCATGTGCGATATCGACATCAGACCGGTACGTCCCCCACCATTCCTGCGCCATGGGATGTGGGGCTGGAACCTGAGGCTGTGTGACAGCTCCTGCAACTGGACTCACTCTGGGCATGATGCCAGGGAAGATGGCCCCATTGGAGCCAAGGCGGGCAGGATGTCAGGGAAGAAGTGTCTGTAGGGGGCAGCAGACCAGACACTGGGGGAGATGGGCCTGTGGAGTTAGGGGGCAGATGGGCCCATAGGGTGTGCATCAGGCTAGACACCATGGCCTGTGGGGAGCTGGCAGGCCAGATGCCAGGGCTGTTGGGCTTGCGGGTAGACAGCAGACTGGACACCAGGAGAGATAGGACTGAGGGGGACAGCAAGCTAGATGCCAGGGGAAATGGGTCGGGGCTGGGAACAACAGGTTAGATGCCAGGGGAAGATGGACCCATAAGGGGATGGCAGGATGGATGCTAGGGGAGATGGCCCCAGGGGGCAGGCTGGACACTGGGGAAGATGGGCCTGTGGGGAGGGGGACAGCAGGTTAGATGCCAGGGGGAGATGGACTCATGAGGGGCTGGCAGGTTGGACACCAGGGAAGATGGGCCCATGTGGAGACCTTGGACTAACCATCTCTCCGGGACTCCCAGGGTCTCTATGGCAGCGTCATTGTGACTGGGGGCAACACACTGCTGCAGGGGTTCACCGACCGGCTGAACAGAGAGCTATCGCAGAAAACCCCACCTGTGAGTGTGTACATGTGTGCCTGCGCGTGTGTGCGCACAGGTGCAGCGCTGCCCCATGCTGGCGTGCGTGTGTGTGTGCATGCGTGCAGTGCTGCCCTAGTGTGGAGGGGTGTGTGTGTGCGTAGTGCTTCCCCATGCTGGTGTGTGTGCATCACTGCCTGCTGATGGTGTGCGTGCGTGCATGGTGCTGCCCCATGCTGGGAGGCGTGGGTGTGTGCGCACACATGCACAGTGCTGCCCCCTGCTGGTGCGTGTGTGTGTGTGTGTGTGTGTGTATGTTCTCGATGCTGCCCCTTGCTGGTGTGTGTGCACACAGTGCTGCTCTATGCTGGGGGGGCATGTATATGGGTGTGTGCGTGCGGCTTGCGCCTAGTGCTGCTCCCTGCTAGAGCGTGTGGTGCTGCCCCATGCTGGTGTGTGTGCGCTCTTGGTACCGCCCCCTGCTGAGGTGTGTGTGTGTCTCAGGAGGAAGATCTGGGGGAGGAGTGTGTGTGTGTGAGTGCGCACGCAGCGCTGCCCCCTGCTTCTGTGTCCGTGTCTATGCTCAGTGCCTGCCACCCGGGGCACTCTCCCCACTTTTCTTTCTTTCCCTCTCCCCAGAGCATGCGCCTCAAACTCATTGCCAGCAACAGCACCATGGAGCGGAGATTCAGCCCCTGGATTGGGGGGTCCATCCTTGCCTCCCTGGTGAGTGACCCTGAGGAGGCAGGATGCCTGGATCCTCTCCCTGGCTTGGGCATTGGGGTGGGGGCAGCTGGTTGCCAGGACTGAGTCCTGGGCTCTATCCTGGTCTCTCCTCCCCAGGGCACCTTCCAGCAGATGTGGATCTCCAAGCAAGAGTACGAGGAGGGCGGGAAGCAATGTGTGGAGCGGAAATGCCCCTGAGGCACACGGCATCTTCTGGTGGTCTGACTGGGGACCAATGGGCTTCTGCCCCCGGCATCTCCTCCCCGCCCCTCTCCTTCCACGCCTCCTGTCGTGTCTTTAACCATCATGTTCACAACATATTTGCCTGGCAGGGAGGGATGAGCTGGGGGAGGGTCACATGGGAGACAGTCTCCCCCACTTGCGCACCAATTCTTATCCTTTCATCATTGCCCTCTCCCCTCCCAGGGCCCCTCGGCCACTATCTCCCAGAGCCGGGGAGAGAACCCAGGAGTCCTGGCTCCCAGTTCCCCATTTCTAATGCTGTTGGGGACATCAGCTAAAGCAAAGCACAGATAGGGAGCTGGGGTGGGAGCCCCATAATTTAGTGGGTATTGTTTGAGGAAGTGCAGTTGAGTTCAGACCTTAGGGTGCCCTGTGGGAGGCGGCGTCCCCTGCAGTTCAGAGGGAGACAGGCACATGCCCAATTCTCTCCTTGCTCCCTCCCAGTCATGACCCCCCATCAGCTGTGCCATTTCCCCATGCCCTGGGCTTTCCCCATTTCTCTGCCTGTGCCCCCTATCAGCTCATTACGTGGTTAATTAATTGATTTGTTTCATTTTCATGGGTGTGAATGTGGAGTCTAGAGAATGCTCCACAATAAACATCCAAAAAGGATAAAACCGGAAAGTGGTGTCTTCATAATGCCTCCCGCCTGCCAAAGGGACCCAGGAGACCTGGCTCCCAGCCCCCTGCTCTAACCACCAGCCCCCTCTACCCTGTCCAAGCCTGCTACGGGGTGGGGATCAGGCTTGCCTGGAGGCAGGGAATGACCCACAGGGCTTTCCCCTCTATGGCATTCCAGCTCTGATGGGTGGGGCAGGGAGTTGCTAGGCACAGGGCTGTTATTTACTGCCCCACAGGTGGCTCTGACCTTTGGGTCAGGGTGGGGCAGGTTTGTCACAGGCATGCCCCACCCCACCCCACCCCTATCTCCTGCCTGTTCCCTGGACATTCACCCTTTAGGGCTGACGCATTTGCCTGTCCGACCCCGGGGGCGGGGGCACCCAGCTAACCTGCCCATTCCAAGGGATTAATTTCACGCACACCCCACTTGAGATCCTCCCCGAGCTCTGCTGCTCCTATGCTGCTGGAGAAGGGGGGTTGTGCTCTCCTCCTTCTGTCACCCACATAGCCCCTTCCCCCTTGGGTAGCCCCCCAAGTAATGGTACTGGACATCAGCTATTTATTGAGCAACCAGCGCAGCCTCTCTGCAGACTCCAGCAGTGTCACAGGGTCAGTGACAGCCGGGACGTTCACACATTTCTGAGCGACTGGCACAGCCTCTCTGCAGACTCCAGCAGTGTCACAGGGTCAGTGACAGCCGGGACGTTCACACATTTCTGAGCGACTGGCGCAGCCTCTCTGCAGATTCCGGCAGTGTCACAGGGCTGGTGACAGCCGGGACGTTCACAGCTCTCTGAGTGACCAGTGCAGGCTCTCTGCACACTCCAGCAGTGTCACCTTTTAGGTGTTTTTTTCCTTAACCCTAAAGATCAGAAGCATCTTTGTTTTCAACCCCAAGCTGCAGTTCTAGGACAGCTGGCAGCACAGAGAAACCTGGCCCCTTCAGTCACCTAGCCCCATACTCTGAGTCTCTTCTTGGACTTCCTGTGGGGAGTCTCTTCTTCCCACAGCTTGGCTTGGCACCAGGATGGGGCCCCCAGATCCACCGTGCCTGCAACTTGAGCTTATGACCCAGTTGTTGGCACTTTATTGGCATCCTCTGATGCCAGAGCTAGACTGTTTGACTGGCGCTGCTATGGCAACAGAATATAAATACTAAGGGAAGAAGTGCCCTGCCTCAGTTTCCCCCTGTCCTTAACAGAAATGCTGCAGGGTGGGGGCACACTGGAACCTTGAGCTAGGTGACTGGAAAGGTGGCATCCAGGTGTCTGGGTGATTGAAGTAATGAATACTAACAGGCAGGCGGTCTGATGGCAGGGAGTCCCATAGGCCACAGGGGGTCAGGAGGGAAATCCTAGGAACCGCTGGCATGATGGGAACCCTGCCAGCCGCACTGAATACTGAAAACATTAGTAGCACGATTCTGGCAGCCACCCAAGAACAAGCAAATTCCTCGGGCCATCCTTAAACATTAATACCAACCACTGAAACACTCAGGGATGGACCCAGGAATCCTGACCCCTTCCCTGCAAGCAAACAGACCTCGCTCCCCTTGCAGCTCTGGGCAGATGTCCTGGCTCTCTGCCATAGCTTTCTTCAAAGCAGGTTGTGACTCAAGGTGTGGTGGGGGGACAAGGTTGAGCCACGTCTTGCTGACGTGGTGGGGTGGAGGGGGAATTACAGGCAGCTGTATAATAATGATAACCCAGGAATCCTGACCCCTTCCCTGCAAGCAAACAGACCTCGCTCCCCTTGCAGCTCTGGGCAGATGTCCTGGCTCTCTGCCATAGCTTTCTTCAAAGCAGGTTGTGACTCAAGGTGTGGTGGGGGGACAAGGTTGAGCCACGTCTTGCTGACGTGGTGGGGTGGAGGGGGAATTACAGGCAGCTGTATAATAATGATA